AGCGGGTTATCGTTCAAAATGTAATTATTTAAATTCTGAACTTTTGCTSAAAAAGCCTCGATTTATATTCTCAACAAATTTTAGCAAAATTGGACAGCGCAGTGATTTTTAATTTTTTTGCAAACTTTCATTCAAAGCGCGTTAAGCGGGTTTCTGTTCAAAAATTCATTCCGTGCAAGCTAAATTAGACACGAAATTAAAATTCTTCTCAAAAATTCACAATTTATACTTATACTAAATGTTAGAAAAATCAGCACAGTGATTTTTAAAGATGTTTGCAAACTTTCATTCAAGAAATCATCCGAAACGCGTCAAGCACGTTATCGTTCAAAATTAAATTACAAGCAAACTACAGTAGACAGAAAGTTTAAATTATGGGCTTTGCTCAAAAGGGCTCGATTTATAATCTCAACAAATTTTAGCAAAGAGACAGAAAATTAAGCAGGAGACAGAAAATTAAAATTCTGGGCGTTTGCTCAAAAATTCGCGCGATTCATACTTTCACCAAATTTTATAAAAATCGGGAAGCACAGTGAAATCATCCAAAGCGTGTTAAGCGGGTTATTGTTCAAAATTTCATAACGAGCAAACTACAATAGGCAGAAAGTTTAAATTCTGGACGGAGTTTGCTCAAAAAGCCTCGATTTAACTCTCAACAAATTTGAGCAAAACTAGAAAGCACAATTATTTTAAAAAAATTTTGCAAACTTTTATCCAAGAAAGCATCTAAAGTGGGTTAACCGATTATCGTTCAAAATTTCAATACGAGCAAACTACAGTAGACAGAAAGTTTAAATTGTGGACTTTTGCTCTAAAAGCCTCGATTTATCCTTTCAACAAATTTTAGCAAAATTGGAAAGCACAATGATTTTTAAATTTTTTTTGCAAACTTTCATTCAAGAAATCATCCAAAGTGCGTTAGGCGGGTTATTGTTTAAAATTTCATTACGAGCAAACTACAGTACGCACATAATTAAAATTCTGGGCATTTGCTCAAAAATACACGACTTCTACTTTCACCAAATTTTAGAAGAATCGGGCAGCACAGTGATTTTTTAAGTTTTTTGCAAACTTTCATCCTAGACACCATCTAATTGTTAAGCGGGTTTTAGTTCAAAGATTCATTGCAGCCAAACCAGGTCCAAAGAAAGACTGAAATATGCAGACCCGAGAAACTTTATATGCAGAAGACACAAAATCAACAAAATCTGTGGAACGAAAAAAAACCGAAACCTAACGAAAAATGTGAATAGGTAACTTGCTAAATCAAATAGTTTTAGCAACATTTTATATTCCTCCACATACGAACTAAAAATATACATATGCATTTTTAATCCTGATCCTAACATTTATTTCTAATTAATCTTTCATGGATTATGTGTGGATTCTCAGTGGTTAAGAGTGAATACAGTATTATGTGAGAACATGTTATTTTCATATGGGACCATTATTTGTTCACAAAATTGTAATCTTCTGGACTATTAAGTCCTTTTTGACTTTCTACTTTATTTCCGCAACCCGCATGATGTCATCAGATCAGATCWGTTCAATGRACGTTTTCAAGCAAAACCACCTCTGAAGAGGGAAGCCATTCCTGCTTGCAAAACTAGGAAGAAATTATTTTTCCACGGCGGTCTAAAATCCCACAAACTAACCAGTTTCAAGCAATWGCCGCAAAAACCGAACACTTTCTGATGTTCTACATAATGCTGAAAACTACACGAAATTTACCCACACTTTCAATGTTGCGATGCTCAATAATCAACACACAAAGTGTGTTGAGACACATGCAATAAATATGGTTTTTAATTGGACATATATAGTTCGCCTTTTACAATAAACAATATAGAAAGTTCTTGCTATTGTGTGGTTTTATCTCAAAGCAAACAGGCACTGAAAACTGCGTATATTGCGAAAAACAGCATAATTACTATGCGGGCGGTATTATTTCTATTAGTGACTCTGATTAGTTAATTCACTAGATATAAATTCCTCTAGCCTAGTCGTTATTGTTAGCTAATTAAATGAAATTATTCTATCCGGTGAAAAGGCTGAGATTAGTTTAGGACATATGAAAGTTAGTTACCCACAGCAATTTGCTCTTGAGCAATTTATCTCCCCTTTTTTACATTACTTTTATCAACAGCAATTGTAGTTTTTTACTGTAATTTTTTCCGTTTATCCATCAGTATTAATAGACAATTTCTATGCCCTTAGATTAGTGGTATTTTATTCACTAACATAGATTATAGACCAGCTAAATATATCCTTGTTGTCTATGTATTCTATGTTAATTAACTAATATCGGGCGAATCAATCATACAATCAGTTTAAACCCAAACTTTGACTAAAATATGGAAAATGATAGTAAAAGCAAACAGAAGCTGTTCTTTAGGGTCCAAAAAACACAAAAGAAGAAGACAAACAATATAAGACAGGTGAAAAATAAGTACGAGATCATAAGTCGAGAAAATGAAACTACAGAGAAACGGAGACTACTTCAAGGAATTAGTTATTGTAGAAGACACCCATGGTGTTGAAAGCGAAGACTGGGAATGTAGCAAATGAGAGACCGAAAAAATTGAACGAAGGAGAGGAAAATACAACGGATGGTAAATAAATAAAGAAAGTTAATAAATCGGTGCAAATGTTGAAAGGACCGAAAGCAGCAGGCTACGAGCATTCACAGAAATTGGCAGAAAAAGGTACCAGCCAAGGCACTGGAAAGTAAAAAATTAACATATGGAAAACCAGTTGGACGAAAACAATGCAGAATACCATGTCTTCTTATTAAAACAGATCAGATAATTTAGAAGTAGACCTAGATATGCAAAACTTTGACAGTGTCCCAAGGAATTTCAAATAGAAAGGTTGGTAACAAAGAGAAGTGAAAGAACAATTAAGAAAGAACATAAAAAATTTAAAACACACATGTGAAACAACGAGAACTTGGATGAGAAAGAGAAGCCCTGTTTGAATTGATATGCTAAAGAAGACAAATGCAAGTGGGATATAGAAATACGGAAGGGCTCGTTCTGTTGCTATTGGTGAAAATAAACTTCTACTGCTTTTTTTTGTATCTAAGTGACATTTTTGTTATTTTTCTTTATTAGAAACGTATTTTTAAAATAATGCTGACGTTATACAAAATACTGATTGGTGAACAGTAATAGTTTCTGTATGAGAAACAGAAAAGCTTCTCCAATATTAAACAAAAATAAATTTCTAATATTGATTTATAAAATTTGTACAAAATTTTTAATTTTTAAAGAGAAATATTTTCGAAAAAAAATTGAATCAATTCCTTGAAAAACGTAAAAAAGCGTCTATTCAAATACTATAAGACTTTTAAGATATTGTTTTTCTATTTTGCGATTACAAAATTAACAATTCTTCAATATTTTTATGTGATGTACATTCTATGCTATAGTCTAATTCGAATTTTCCTATAGCAACGGAAATTCGTTCGTGAATTTGTATTTTTTCAAAATATTTTTTGTTTTGCACTAAAATGAACGTTAAATTATTAGCATTATTATGCATAAAAAAACGGGCCTAATTAATTGCTGTCCACTTTACAAAATATTAAAAAAATGCAGTGAAATGGCAGTGATTGTTTTCGTTTACAATTTTTGCCAAAAAACGATAAAACTAATATTTTTTTATCAGCCTCATGTTTATTTAACCAAACCTTCTTTGAAGAATATTGACTAGGGAAAGAAAGATTAGAAAATATACGTCCAGATGTTGTTGGTTGAATTAGAAACCACTGAATATCAATACTAGCTTTAAGCTGACAGTTGCCTAATTATTAAGGATCCCGGTGTTTTTCCCACTTTCTTTTTATACTTTCTTTGCTATTAAGAACCGGAAAAGCGTGATCGCTGGGAAACCGTTCGGGAGGACCCAACACTTTGATTTCTAATTCTAGGTTTAGTCGTCGCATGTAAATATATTAGGTAACGTTCATTTGTTCTGAACTAATGATAGTTAAGTTATACTATGAGTCGACATTATTTTGAATAAAAAATAAAGCTATGAATGTCGGAAATATTTGCAAGAATTGTGCGGAAAAATCTGGTATTCGATATTTAGTTGAAGCTGAAAATATTCATGTAAGTAAATTTAACTGTCGGATTGAAATTGCGAGTTAATTTTTAGGAAAATGGTTTTTCTCATATTCGACGGAAAACAGGAGAAAGAAAGCTTATAAAACACACATGTAATATATCAAATATATCAATCAAATAAAATATTAGTAATTTTTTGCTCACAAAGAACATGTTTTGATGCCGATTCTGTTGATTCCGGATTTTTTATAATAGAAGTTTGATTTTAATCTGCTTCTAGAATACCATAAACTCAACAAATAGAACAAACACACAATTAAAAGCAAAGAAAATTATTATTTATTCAAGTTTTAGAACAAACTTTAAAAAAATCTCAACCCTTATGTATTACAGAAAGAGAAATTGTAATTTGGTTTTCTTGGTCCCCTGGTGGAAAGTACGTACTTTGGTCACTGTTTTATATAGCGAAGTAATAGATTAGATAGAATATAGATAATAGATAGAATTAAGTAATAGAGTAAAAGTTATAGATCACTAAGCTGAAACTTTGTACCGATTTTCCGATTTGATCCGCCAAGAAATGTGCAGAATAGGTCAAAAATAAAAAGAAAAAAAATGTTTGATGAGCTGTAACACGAAAATATTTCAGATTTCGAATTTACCACTTACATGACTACCATTATTTTAGCATGTAGATTATCCCTTAAAAATTTCCTAACGCATTATTGGAACACCTTGTATAAACGTGGTATGTACATAATACCTCACTTCTCGCCCTAGGAATATAAAATACTATTAAATAATAATGCATCCATAGATATATATTGCGACATATGTTAAATGCACTTATAAATAGCTGTTTTATTTATGATTTTACTGATTTTGTCCTTAGTAGCTTCAATGTTTAATATTGAATTTCTTTTGTTTCAGACCACCATTAAAGTGTACGCAAAATGTCTTCGACCAGATATCGAATACAAGACTCTCAGCATCACCTTCCAGACCACCTGCAAACAAGTGGTGGGCACTTTGCTAGGAAAATACAAAATGAAACATCGAGATCCGAAGCTGTTTTACTTGAGCATGGAAGTAACCGTTAGAAAAGCGGGAGTGAGAACGCATTTAGCGCTGGACGATGAAGCTAGACCTGCAGTTTTACAAAGTTGTCACCCCAAAGGCGATTCTAAGTAAGTTGAATTGTTGTGTATTTTCGATGTTATTAGATATAAGCCCAATTTTGATCATAAAAAAATTACTAAGCTGTTTAAAGTAGAACCCAAATATTTCATTCAATTGCTCCAATAAATAGATTTTCTTTAAGATCCCTAAACTATTTATTGAATAATTAGATTAAAACATTGTGATAGCCAATAATATAAATTTAATAAAGCTACCATTTCTCACGTCTTGAATTTTAACTTAATTTTTTTATTAGTTACGAACAGCCGTGTTATCGGCATATGCGAATTTGCATAATTTTTTTTAAATTTAAAACAGAAGTTAATATGCCTTTCTTATCCAATAGAACTTTCTACTAGATAAGTTCTATATGGTTGAGGCGAATTCACATTTTTTAAACCCTCTCGTTGAGTACTTATTTCGCCTGAGAAGCGTTTGTCTCTTTCGCACATATTTTAACATAGAAGCAAAAAAAAACAAACATTTTGATGCCGCAATACTCAAAGAAAATATTTTCCTCTTTCTGCTTCATGAGTCTATGGGAATGATCAGCTGGACACGAACTGCTTTAGAGCCGAAAATCTTTAACACCTTTATAAATAATAATTAAATATGCATGTTGAAATTAAAGAAACTGGGCATGGAAGAAAATACATATTAAGTTGTTCGTTAAGTGTTAAGTGTTAAGCACATTCATTATCTAATTTATTTCAGTGTTATACTTTTTCAAATTTGTCATCACTTTGTGATATTTAAATAAACCCTTGCAATTATAATTTTTTAAATATATTTTCTAGAGAACTGAATGTTAATATTTATAATTTTTCACATTATTTATGGTAAGTTTGAAACTCTGTTGGATTCAGAAAGCATTTAAATATTCAAACTTTGTTTTGAACACAAACGTTGCTATAATCTAACCGTTTATGTAATTTTTGTCACCTTCTGTACACATTTATATCTAGTTCTGAATTTATATCAGAAAGATGCAAATGTTGAATAAACTAATCTAAAATAATGTTAATTTTTTTCAGGTTTTCGTTGCAAACACGCCGAGGAGGTTTAGTAAAAGTTCACGATTCCGTTTTAAACAGCAATTCTCAATATAAATCTCTACTAATCAGCGCAAGAACAACAGTCGACGAGCTGATTTCACTTCTTCTCAACTGCTACAACAGCAAAGAGCGAGTTGAACAATTCTCCATTTATGAAGTAAGCTGCTTCCAGTTTCATATAGAACATTTCACGAAAACAATGTGTCCATTAGGTGAACCCGGAACGAGAACAGCAAAGAAAATTGCATCCAGATGATCGGCCACTTCAAGTGCAACAAACTTGGTTACCTTCGCATGAATGCCACTTTTTAATTCGGAAAAATCCAGACTATCTACCTCTATCAAGGAGAAAAGTAAGTAGTTTGAATCTTGAAATGTCCAACAGTGGCACTCGAAGATATTGTTAAGTTCTTCTTTCCTTAAGAACATCCTGATTTAAAAGATAGTAATTATTGATAGATTAGTTTTAGTAATCGCTGGTCTACTTCAATATGTGCATTGGGATAAAAGTGTAATAAATGTTTCTCTGAATATATTGTACATTCGATCTGCTTGCCACAGACGGTATGCCAGTGCAACCAGTCTTTTAAGTAATTTTTGAAACTCACAGGCTTTTGTTGAAAACTATCATTTATCTATTTTTCTATCTACAGCTACAGCTATGTTAGCTGTAACGAGTAGCTATTTCTAAATTCTTGTATTTATCAAAATGAGTATCTAGCATTCAATGCAAAATCATCTTTACCATTAGCTTTCCATGGAAGGACGCGTCTGTGTATTGAAAGAGAAATTCAGGCAGTTCTTGGGCACCATCAGTACAAGTGTGCTAAACAATTATTTTTCTAGTATTAGGTTCCAAAAGTAACATGTTACTTTTGCAATTTTTCATTAAAAATTCGCATTGTTGATGATGGTAGAAATAGTGATGATAAATAATGATTTAGTTTGTTAAAAAATACTTCTTAGCATTGGTAAACTAAAAATTATATATTCCAAAACAAAAAAAAACCTTGGGTCATAAGTAACTACTGAAAGGAAAAACCCTTATAATAAAATCTAATTGTTTAATGTACGCTTTGCATGCGAAAATGTTTAAAAAGCTAATTTTTCATAAAAATTTAAATTTTATTCAAATTACTTGTTGAGTCCGAAACCTGAGGCCTCATTCAGACCCCAAAAAATATAATAACAAAGTCCCAATTCATTTCTTTTTCTGCTCTAAATCAGAATTATTTGCAGATTTTTTGGATGTCCGATCTACCGCCACTTCCAGCCTCCAGACTGTTCAAAGCCACCCAACCAGCGCCTCAAAACAAGATCAACTTATTGCAACTTTCGAAATCTTCAACATCTTTAGTACCTTCGAAAAAAACAGATGAAAAGCAGAATTCTCACCTGCAGATAAAAGCCAAAGAAAGTGCCGAAACCAAATATTTAAGCACTGAATTGAAGGTATTTGAGAACAATAACAATACAGTGTCTCAGCAAAATGGACAACCTACTTTTGGAGATTACGAAAATTACTTCTATATCTAGTTTTACGTTAGTGTGTCGACTCATTCAATTTTTTTGGTGCACCTGTGGCCACACTAACATTAGGATTTCTCGCTAATACAGTGCTGGATAAATGCGAAATTTTTACTTGGAATACAATACAAGTGAAAAATATGTATTGTATAAATTTATTTTAGATAAAATGATAGCGTTAGGGAAGGTTATTCATACTTGCATAACATTCTTGTTTAGTAAACGTATTAACTTACTGTATATTTTGTATATAATCCTTGTGTCGTCTAGTTTTTTATTGTGATATTTGCCTAGAATTAGGAAGATTGGAACCAAAGAGAACATCAGTTTTTATGTAACGTATAATCCTTAACGTAACCGTTTTGCTGTACTTATATTTGGCAGTAATTACATACCATTTAAGCTAATTTTAACCCAAGAACCAGTCCAAATAATATTAAACAACTTCAATCACTTTTCTTTCAGAATCAGTCACAGGTGTGTGTGGTCCTGGTGTTTGATAAATATATCTTTAGACTTTTAGCGGAAATTGAAGATTTGAAGTGAATATTCTTCTAGGTTTAAGAATTTTTCCAAAAAATATTTACCCTTTCCATTGAGTTTTTTCAATTGCCGAAACTGGTCATTAAAATATGAAATTAAAAAAGTTGAAATCAGAAGAATACATAATGACCGAGGTTTCAACTTTCTGTATCCAGAAAATGCCACTTTATTCCAGCATTTTGGTAGTTTTTTTCTTAATATTAATTTTCGAAGTTCGCCACCACCTCTAAGAATTTGCCGGTATATTTATACAACATCCAGTATATCCTGTCTCGTCAGAAGATCGCTTTCGGTCCAAATAATATTCGACTTAAAACCTATTAAAAACTTTATAATTCACTGTTAATTGAATATTCTCCTTCGATAGGTTTTATTGATGTATATTTACGAAAGCTTTAAATAAATTCGAAAACTAGAAAGCATCTTAATGAGTTAAATCAGTGTTAAATAAAATTGTAATTTAGGACTAATGTTAAATGATTCGATTTATTCATGATGTTAAAAATTGCAGGATCACTCAAATTGTTAATATGACCAAATTTTCCAAATTCCGAAAAAAAAAATTGTAAAAAATGCAGCAAAATTAAATGTATAGTGTAGTGTACCTAACGATTTTAGGAAAAAGCTTTGAAATATTCAGGAATGTTTTATTAATTATAGCGAAAATCTAATCCGTTTTTGCATGAGAACACCTAACTAATATTTAACGTGCAATGCGAATGTTACAGCTTCTCTTTATATGTTTGTGTATGTATATGAATGTAGGTAATGTTAGTTTACTTTATCGCAAGTACCTAAATGTCGATTATAAATGTTAAACACCAAAGATTTAGTGTGTACCATGTGTGTTTGTGTTTAAGGTAATAAATTTAATTAATTGAATCATGCAAACGTGTTTTTACTTTCCTGTTCTAATGAATCATCTTCATAATTTTAACTCATTTCAAAAAGAGAGATAGTGAGACGTTCATAGTTTTCAATTTACCTAACTTTTAATGTGTGGTACCTGTTTGGAAAAAAATATTTGAAGAGCCCGAAAACTACACCAAAAATAACGCAGATGAGAAAAAAACGCAAGACTATATATAAACTACAAACTAAAACGTAGAAGTAAGTGTGTATGTGCATCGAGAAGATAAAGAACGGAATACATCCAAAAATATAAGAAATCGACTGAACATAAACCTGCAGCCCAAGAAAATAGTGAAAGCCTATTAAATAGTGAAAGCCTATTAAACTTGGAAGAACTAAAAGGGCAGAACACGAAAAAGGATAGATAGTAGGCGTGTGTAACTCAGTGAATTCAGGTGCGCGGTGTTGCGGACATGGCTTGATGCGTCAACACAACGTACCGACACCGTAACTCTCCGGTGCAGTAGCGTTGCACCCATTTGACCCATTTGGTAAAAAGTTACTAATAAAGAATGTAGTGATCTTTTTTTTGTTAGGTGTTAAAATTTGAGTCCCGGCCTCGTAAAGATTTAATTCGCCTCTTGGTTAAATGCTAAGCACCATTAAAAGTGCGGCACAGTGAGACGCGATTAGTTCTAACAAAAAACTCAGAAACGAAATAGTATATTACATAATTAGAGTTGTAACGAGCACTTTACATGCGAATGGAAAAGTTGCAAAAGTAGTAACTTACTAAAACTGAGAAAATAATATTCAATAAGTTACATTCTCCCGACAAGTTTTAATGTTGTTTGTGGACAAAATATCGGACTTCTTGCTTTTAAACCCTCAGATTCACTTTTGAGTAGGGTATGTATTTTTTAATACAAGATACATCGTTTATATTGTGATGAATGTTGACAGAACTGTGTGTTTAGTTTACCAAGCGTTTGGTTTACAATGCGTAAAATGGAACTTACTTAGATGGTAGGAAGTGTGTTTTATACTACTTTCAGTAGCGGTCGCAGGTAAAATACTTTACAAGTTCAGAGTTCTGCGCTCAGTAAAGAAGAGTGCGCTCTAAATGCCGTCAGAATTTCGAACTTCACTCATCGTTAAGAAAAATTTTGCAGGATTTCTAAGAATTATTACGGGGCACATTTCGAATTGAGTTTTTGGAAAACAAATTTCGCAGAAACCAAAAATAATCTAAAAGTTCAGAGGGGTGTGTTCAGTAAAGAAACGTGCGCTCTAAAAGTCAAAATTTCGAATTTCACTCATCGTTCAGAAAATGTTGCTTATGATTTGAAAAAGCTATTGCGGGACGGGGCGGGGAAACAGAAATTTCACCGAAACGAAAAATAATCGAAAAGTTGTGCGTTCAGTAAAGGATAGTGCGCTCTAAAAGTCGTAAAAACTACTTCAAACCTTCAAACATTCATTCAAAACAATAAATTTTGCTCGCTTTTTAAATGTCGATTTCAAAATGAACGCTTTTACGCGACTGCACTTTTCAATAAAAAAATTCAATTTCCAAAGTAAAGCCAGTAGAAACTTGAAAAATTTACATTCTGTAGAAAACGCTTTTTTAATGAAATTTTGCTAAAAAGTTGCACTTAAACGTCTGATATTCAAATTTCGTGTGACTTCTTGTGACAAATCTACCAGAGTTTACTCACGCACGGTGTTATAACGGAACCGAGTTATCAATTCTCTATCCAATGATATAAAAACGAACTCTGTTGCGGCTCAAATGGTTCTTAGCACCGTCAAAATAGGCGGCGTCATGATTCAGTCGATATTGCAATTTGAAAAAAAACGCGCAAAACTAAAACTCTTGACTTTTTTTATAAAAAAAAACATAAAACTGGAACTCATATTTGCATATCTGAAACGGTTCTTTGGAGACAAGCTTCAAATGAGCTTGATGTAAAAATACAAAGTCGTCCAAAATATTATCAAAACTTGAAAATCTACTCTAACTAAGAACTAGAATAGCTCAATAGGTATCGAAACCACGCTACGAGTCAGTTGATGAATATGGGACTAAAAGTTCTACATGTACATGGCAACCATGGGCAAAGTAATGCTAAGCTTACCAAAATCTGCGTAGTGCCACCTGGAAAGAAAGATGAAACTGTGTTTAGTACAGCGGAAAATCTGTCCAAAGCCAGACTTATTTTATCAGCACAGCAGAGAGAAAAATATAAAGAATCCATAAAACTTCAGTTGCTTGTCGGAAAGCTAAGCTCAGTTCAAGCTAAAAAATGTATAGATTTGAGTCCATTCTTACCAGCTTTCTACAAGTTGGGGCACCATGCTCCATTTTCTACCCAATAATCCTCAAGGAGTTCACGACACTTTCACAAACTACCGCACTTACCATAAGATCCACAATGATTCCATATTTCCCATCTAAGAACGAGATTCACACGACACAAAGGATTACCTAAACCGATTTCTTCCTCTGTCGATAGCAAACTGACATTCAAACACCTTTTCGAGAAAAAAGACACTGAACTACAGAATAAACATGATTATTTAATCATATAATTGTTCGCCCTTTCGATGATCCATGCTTTACTTGGCGGTTCGAATTCAGTTTGTTTATTGTTGGCATTTTTTTATAAAGTACCTGTTCGCACGGCAATATTTTCAAAGGCAAATTCCACTTATCGAAAGTCAACAACAACTAAACGAAAACCCTCCAAGTGCAGATCTTTTACTATTTTAATTTTAAATTTAGTGCCATTTATATTTGTCTGAATTTCATTCAGCTGCAGTTATTAATGCACAACGCCAAAACTACACGAATACAATACTATACGGAATACAAATATACAAAGGCTGTTAGGGCAAATCTGAACGAACCCAATAAAGGGAAAATGTTTGCTGTCGCTGGACAAAGTATTTTAAATTATAAGGCCTAATAACATAAACATTAAATATTTTATCGTATATATTTTAGTATATTTTTCTCGTATTATTTTATATATTTTAGTTTTACCGTTCATTGGGAGGCCTTTCAAGAATCACAAAGCCTTACAAAAATGTCGAAAAATGTAAAAAAATGTGTTCACAGACAAAGGTGTGATATATCTATAGAGCAAAAATTTAAAGTTTAAGTGAATTAGAGGAAAACTAACACCAATCATTTCCACTAGATTTTTTCGAGAGCGGAAATTTAGTACGATAAGACCATTTGGAAATTTGTGCAACAACTGCTAAATCTACCGCTCACCAAATAGAATGACTAAATTAAGATTTTCGTTGAAATTAATACAAAAGTGCACGGATAATATTTCAATATATAAAAAAACATTCAATGATCCAATCCCATTTTTAAACGCGACGAACAGTGCATGTGCATTTGCTATGCCCATTTTCACCCGCATTTAATCATACAGACAGAAGCATTTATTATGCTTAATTCAAAGATTCCAACACAAACTGTATGAAATTGAAACCTTGAATTGTCAAACCGCAACTTGAAAAAAAGCTTGAGAGTGTTGAATTAAGAAGAGATGATCAGTTCTTTATTTACTTGAAGAAAGCGTTATAATTTTGTCACTTTTACTTCCTTTAACATTTGAAAAAAATAGTCAAGATCACCCATGTTGGCAAGAGAGACTGTCTAGTTCCTGTATTAACTTATGCTCTATTATTATTTTATGATTATCTATGCCCACAAAAAATCTGCGATTAAAAATAGACTCATCTATTGGAACGTAATTAATATACACATTTTTTCGATTAGAAAAATATTACAAAAGTTTCTATTCTAAAACGTTTTTTACTTACTTTTAAAACAAAAAAGCTTAGCTGAGCTCTAAGCTTTTTCGTTTTAAAAAGTTTCTATACTTAAAAAAAAATAAAACGGTATAATAAAGGGCGATAATAAAGCAATCGGTGGAATTTGGACCGGATCTGAATTTGGTTGTGAAGTTTGCTTGCAGACATGACCAACACCTTCAGAGTGTGATCATCCAAAATAAACACATATTTTACCAATTCTTCAAGCAATGGCAGTGAGGCGTTCAACGCAGCTTAGAAATCATATGATTTCTAAGCTGCGTTGAAATAAATAAATAAATTTAATAAAATAATTTAAAAACTTAAATAAATTAATTAATATTTTGCAAATATGTTAAAGTTTTAATCACTGTTACTTTATCGTTCAGTATCTGTCGAGCGCAACTGAAATTTTACAGAAATTTATAGAAAAATAAAAACCTCGAAATCGCTCTTATACTAAAGGTACTAAATTAAAGTTTCATCAATTAAAACGATCAAATGGACACAAAGTTAACACAAAGAAATATGACCGATTTATAAAAAAATATATTTTATTCACAAATTTACATTTACAAGTGGCTAATCAGAGACTTGTCTCAGTGGCTAATAAAATTTATAGAAAGCAATATACAAAAAGTGATATAAATACATAAAGTTCAATCTAAATAAGTCGAAATAATATCGACTACTTCAATAAATTAAATCAATTTTTATTTCCATAGACAATATTGATTATTATGAATCTACATAATACTTTCAGTAACTATGTTTACAATCGTCTGCATATACAGGGTGTCTCACCAAAAACGCGATATAATCTGGTATAGTTTGCTAATAGACAAATTTAAGAGAAATTGTTTCAAATAGGTTAAATTGAGTCAACACGACGATATTGTTAATGATATTTTGTCACATGTTTATATTGCTTTGTCTCTATGACAATAAATTATTAGGACTCAACTGTACCGTTTGAGATTGTCCTAATTTGTATTCTAATAATGATGCTTCCAGAACAACCTGAACTTGGATATCTAGGAAACGAAGAAAAGATAACAAGGCACTAGTTCTCTAGAATCATCATCTAATTATAGAAGTTTAAATCTACAACTGTTCGTTACTTTGTTTCTCACCATGCGCTCCTTTTCAAGTTCATTATGTTTATACATTTTCATGGTTTTATTGATAATATATTCCTTCAATG